TAAATGGTTAAAGAGATAATTCTTGAATATAGCGGAATATGGGATATATGAATATGCTTATGTTAGTGATATACACATATATTCAAGTATGGAGAATTCCTTTTATTTATTGCTTTCCATTGTTTTAAATTATATATTTCATGATTATTGGAATTCTCACCCTTCTGTTGGAATGATGCTTGATACGGCATCGCTCAGGTACCGATGATGGTAGTGCGAGGCACAAGGATTAGCGGATGCATTTAGGCTTGTAGTCCGTTATGTTTTGGTTATTGAGTCGATGCTCTGATTGTAACACTTGGGGGTTTAGTGTCCGCATTCGAACTCTTATTTTGTGGATGGATTATACTTGTATATAATCCTTTATTTTGATCATATTTTGATGTATGTATTATGAGACTTGATAACATGTTTGGTGTATGAACCATATGGCTTAATGCCTTGAATTTTATATTTTGATTCCTCCTTGGAGATGAAGTTACTATGATTCTGTTGCGTTTGCACGAAAAAGAAAGTATATGCCATGAATGTATTATGTGATTAAATGATTAAAGTGACGAATATGTCATGTTCGTCTTTCTTGAATAAGTGAATTGATGTTGTGACACTCCTTCCATGCAATTTTATTTTCTCTGATTTTAATTATATCATTTAATTCAGGGTTTATTAGAAGGGGTGTTACAAAAGTGGTATCAGAGCATAGTCGATCAGTTGTCAAGTCTTAACTTTGCTAATCCCATTGTATTTGATTGTGTGTCTGACGCGATCGATACTTTTGTGTTGTTCAGAAGAAGATGGTTGCTGGAAGGAATGATAATGCACTTGCTGAGGCTTTGCGATTACTCGCGGGATCCTTGAATCAGATGCCGCAAGCTAATCCTGTTCAGCAAGGTGGAGGTGATGATGGATTCCGTGCTCTTGGAAAGTTTCAGAAAAACAATCCGCCTACTTTCAAAGGAGAGCATGCGCCTGAAGAAGCTCAAGAATGGTTGAAGGCCATAGAAAATATTTTCCGAGTGATGAATTATACCGATGCTCAGAAGGTCCAATTCAGAACTCACATGCTGGTGAAGGAAGCTGAGGACTGGTGGATTAACGCTAGTCAGAGGTATGATGAGGATAACACCGTGGTGACTTGGGCCATTTTCCGAGATGCATTCTTGGAGAACTACTTTCCTGAGGATGTGTGTGGGAAGAAAGAGGTGGAGTTTCTTGAATTGAAACAAGGAAACAGTTCTGTTGCTGAATATGCCGCCAAGTTTCAAGAATTGATTAAGTATTGTCCTCACTACAGCACTGCAAATGCCGAAAGATCCAAATGTCTTAAGTTTGTTAATGGCTTGAGGCCGGATGTGAAGAAGGCAATTTCTTATCAGCAAATCACCCGCTTTTCTGAATTGGTGAACAAGAGTCGTATCTATGATGAGGATAGTCGAGAAAGTAGTGCTTATTATAAGAACTTGCATGAGAGGAGAGGTAAGGGGAAACTGCGTCCTAAGCCTTATGAAGGAAAGGGAAAGCAACCAATAGGTGGAGGAAAGAATCCAAGTGGGGGAGTGATTACTCCGATCAAATGTTTCAAGTGTGAGAAAGAGGGACATCGTGCTCTAGAATGTCGCCAAGGAATTGTGAAGTGTTTTAAGTGTGACAAAGTAGGTCACAAAGCTATGGATTATTGGGTTGGTTCTGTTGTAACTTGCTACAACTGTGGTGAGAGAGGTCACATTAGTACCAAATGCACAAAGCCAAAGAAAGAGACCGGAAAGGTGTTCGCATTGTCTGGTGCCGAGACTTCAGCAGATGAGAGATTGATCAGAGGTACATGCTTTATTCATAACGTGCCTTTGATTGCCATTGTTGATACGGGTGTGACTCATTATTTTATTTCATTGGATTGTGTTACGAGATTGGGCCTTGTGTTATCTGATATGAGTAGGAGTATGGTGGTAGATACGCCTGCGATGGGTTCAGTTTCTACTTAAGCTATATGTTTAAAGTGTCCTTTGCGTATGTGTGGTAGAGATTTTGAGGTGGATCTTGTATATCTTCCATTGATTCAGCTTGATGTCATTATGGGTATGGACTGGTTGAGAGCCAACCATGTCTATATAATTGTTTTTCTAAATAGATTCTTTTTCTCGAGTCCGAGAAAGAAGGTGTTTCGTTTTTGTCTACTCAACAAGTGAAGAGGTGTGTCAAAGATGGAGCTGAATTGTTTGTGTTGATGGCGAGCATGAATCTTGGTGAAAGGGGAGTGAGAAAGGATGTTCCTGTTGTTTGTGATTTTCCAGTGGTGTTTCCGGAGGAGATTACGGATTTACCTCCAGAACGTGAAGTGGAGTTTTCTATTGATTTGGTTCCTGGTACTAGTCCTGTTTCGATGGCTCCGTATCGGATGTCACCATCGGAATTGGTTGAACTAAAGAGCCAACTTGAAGAGTTACTTGATAAGAAGTTTATTCGTCCGAGTGTTTCTTTGTGGGGTGCGTTGTTAGTAAAGAATAAAGAAGGTACGATGAGGCTTTGTGTGGATTATAGGCAGTTGAACAAGGTTGCTATCAAGAACAAGTATCCGTTACCTAGAATTGATGATTTGATGAACCAATTGGTAGGAGCTTGTGTGTTCAGTAAGATTGACTTGAGATCTGGTTATCACCAAATTCGTGTGAAAGCTGGTGATATTCAGAAGACGGCATTTAGAACGAGGTATGGACACTATGAGTATTCGGTGATGCCTTTCGGTGTTACGAATGCACCTGGTGTGTTCATGGAGTATATGCACAAAAAATTTCATGAATATCTTGATAAGTCTGTGGTAGTATTTATTGATGACATTCTTATCTATTCGAAGAATGAAGCGGAGCATGCCGAGCACTTAGGATTGGTGTTGTCGATTCTGAAAGAGAATCAGTTGTTTGCTAAACTCTCTAAGTGTGAATTTTGGTTGGAGCAAGTAAGCTTTCTGGTCATGTGATATCTCGTGGAGGTATTGACGTGGATCCAACAAAGATTGAAGTTGTGTCAGAGTGGGAATCTCCTAAGTCTATTTTTGAGATACGGAGTTTTCTTGGTTTAGCCGGTTACTACCGTAAGTTCATTGAAGGTTTTTCCAAGTTAGTTGTACCTTTGATGCAATTGACGAGAAAAGGTCAAGCGTTCGTGTGGACTACTCAGTGTGAGGATAGCTTCCAAGAGCTTAAGAGGAGGTTGACTACTGCTCCTGTATTGATTTTACCTAATATATGTAGTTTAGCGGCTCAGACATTCTATATGGAGATTAAGATCTTCAGTTCGAAACTCACCTTTTTCCAAATTTGAATTTTTAATTCCTATTTTTTTTTATAGAAACACTTCATTTTTTCATGGCCTCTCTTAATCTAATTGCAGTTCAATAAATAAAGATGACAATACATTATGGTTCATTTAGAAAGAATTTGGAGAGGTAAAGTCATCATTTAAAATTAAATTCCAAATATAATTTTTGCGACAGTTATCATTTCTCAAATTTCAATTATAAAATAATTTTTATATAATCAATTGAAATTTATAAAGAGATTTTAAATCAAATTTTATTCTGATGATTATTTATTGTAACTCTAATTTTATTTTAATTTATTTTAGTATGAAGTTTAGAGGTTATTTATATGTTATGATTAAATGTTTAAGTATTTATCATACGATCAATTCATTTATTATGATGAAATCAAACTCGTTATGATTTGTGCTTTGATTTATTATTTTTCTGATCATAGAAATAGATTTCTTAACAGTTGGGTAAATCTGCGTATTAAGGTTTAGGCCTACTCTTACATTTCTTATTCATATGTCTGTTTTTTGCAATTGAAGCAAGAGAAAACATCACTTTTATTTTTATGTCAGATAAAAATGTGTATTAGGGTCAGAACATGATTTACGCCTACTCCTACATTTCTTAGTCACATGACTTGATTTTTTGCAATTGAAGTTTCATTTCTTTGAGATGATGATTGTTGCCTAGAAATTAGAGCCACTAAGACCCTTTAAAGATTGTCATTCTTAATTTAGTTAACCCCATATTGTGATTTTGAATTCTTTAATGATTTGCAGATTGATTCTTATCCGCATTAAAAATTTTGTTGTTAGAAACATCTAAGACTTCATATTTTTTATCCTGCCTCAGAGATTCTTCTTTATTTTAGAGGCGAATAAAAAATCAATTTTTTATTAAGAATTTTTTTTTGTCCTAGATCTCTTAAAAGTCGGGACCAATCCTAATAACTTGTCTTTTTGTTTCTTCTTCAAATTTTGCTTTAGATTCTCTTTACTTTTTTCTCCCTTTGCTTGGCCTTGTGCTCTTCTGAGTTTCATTCATGCCGTTAAGCCATTTTGGGCACTCATATTAAAATAATTAGATGTAAAACTTTAAGTTTAGGATGGCAAAATGGATCTGATTAATTCAACATGTTTGTTTTATTCGTACATTTTTGAGGTGCGAACTAAAATTTTAGATTGGCCCTCGTTATCGTTCGGCCCAACATCTGTTTTTTAGTGGATTTTGCGGGATGAGACATTAACATTATTTTTTACAATTTTAAATTGAAAAGATATAATACTCACGAGTCCGATCTATCCACCCTCATTTTTTTCGGGACGGATTAAGATGTTATGCTCAAGTCTATCTTACACAATATCCGACCCGTTCTATTTTGTTGCGGACTTTTGACAGACAATACCCTAAACGGGGTGGAATGCCTGTATGCCACCCCTACTTTTAAGTAACATGTAGAATAAGTAATTTCAAGCTGAAACTTCTTTAAATTCTAGTTTAAAGATTATCAAAACTAAGACTAACAGAAAACTTTTATATATATAAGTTAGAAAATTCCAAAGTCTTTCCCCGGAACATGCATACATATGAGAGTTCTGGAGTCTAATCATACATAAAAAACGTAATGATCGAAATAACATAACAATGATCCTAACATGATAGAACTAATCATAGATAGAAATTTCTTGCAATCTTAAAATGGGCTATGGAGCTCCCACTCAACTAGATGGTTGACATTTGGATCAGATTCAGAACTATCTGCCACTGGTTTTAGATGAACATCACGATTTTCATAATAGTGATACGCAGCTGCCCCCGAAAGCACTGCTAGAGTTAGCGCCTGTGCGTGCATCCTGCAAAACACATTTCAGCTCAGCATTTGATGTAGAAAAAAAAAACACTGTCATTGAATATTGAAGCTAAAATTTTGATGAAAAATAAATGTACCTAGCATGGATAAGCCTTAGACTCGGCTTCATCGGAGATTTAGCTCGTGAATAAGCTACAAGTGTTGCTCCAATTCCAGAAGCCCATAGTGCACCTGTATTCAAATTTCGTTATAACTTGATGTTCAATTTTACTGCCAATTTGTTGTATACACAGTAATTAATAACTTACCAATGCTGGCAAGTTTGTTCTTTGAAACCCATGTTTGAACTGCTTCCATGTTGTTAATTTCTTGTTTGAGAAAGTGTGATTTTGAGCAAGTGTTAGTATTTGGTAAGTTGTGAAGGGGAATGAATATTTATAGGTGAGATTGGTTGAAAATTGTGGCTTATTGGCCCATGGATTTAGCAGGTGTTCAATTAGAGTTTGGAACACTGAAAGTGTTAAACTAGAGGCGTATTTACTCTGGTTTCATGTGGCAAGTATACAAAGTGGTGGAGCCAACGGATTTAATTACCTAGATCTGAGTTTCTTAGATAGGAAAGTCCATGATATAAATAAAGTAACTAAGGGATTAAATTTCTGGTTTATTAAAGTTCTTAAATATTAGTAAACAATGATAATTAGACACATCTCTGTTGTGACCGATGTGATACCTCTCAAACACCACCCAATACCATGGACCAACAATACATATGAAAATGTTGCACTAAAAAAAGCGTTGTAAATTTGAATGAAAGTAGATTTTAATATTCTACTAATAACTTTATTAAACTTTATGCTGTAAAATCTGATCAAATGTTTTGGAATTCTAACTATCTGTCTAAAATCAACGAACCCAGAGATATTTGAAATATGAAATATGTAAACAAACTAGGCCTTAAACTGCTTTTCATAAGCAAGTGGTTTTCTTCATGCACTCGCAATTTTGATGGGGTAAAAACAAATGAATAAAGAAAATAAGAATTTCCCTAAAAAAATATTTTAGTTTTTACTCAGACATGCTATTTATATATGTGCTAAATTATGAAATGTATGACAAATTCTTTTTTGAACTCTGAGCCACTTTTTAATTTAATCTATCATATAAGAATATTAATAGTTCTGGAAAAAAACATAAACGCCCTTACACAACTAACTACTATGTCTCATTTGTTTATCAAAACCTAAAAACGTAATTCAAAAAATAAATTTCCGTTCCCTCCAAATGTTTGTTCATGTTTTTTCTCTTTCTCTTTTTCTTTATTCTCTCTTCCTCTACATCTCTCTTCCTTTTTCTTACCTTTCTCTCTTCTCTCTGTGCATTTCATCTCTTTCGCTCAACTTTGTTCAAATCTCCTCTCTGAACCTAATCAAATTTCTGTCGAAGCCGTGTGTTAATTTTGGAATAAACTCATAGTATATTTCTTATTTTGGAATTTACAAAACAGTATTATATATACTGTTTAAGTAACAAACTGTAACAAACTAACTAACTGTAACAAACTAAACAGAATTATTTTCATCATGTAATAGCCCCCCACAAGCTGGACTATGGATGTCTAATAGACCAAGCTTGGAAACAAGAGAATCGAAAAAGGGAGCTGCCAAAGGCTTAGTGAGAACATCTGCCAATTGAGAAGCAGAAGAAACTGGTAAAAGGTGGATGAGACCAGTTTGGATTTTCTCACGAATGACGTGGCAGTCAATTTCGATATGTTTTGTCCGTTCATGGAAGGTGGGGTTGTGAGCAAGGTAGATAGCACTTTTGTTGTCACAATAGACTGAGCTAGGTTGATCTAAGGAGATGTGGAGATCCTTGAACAAATACTGCAGCCATTGCAATTCACAAGTCAAGCTTGCCAAGGCCCTGTATTCTGCTTCTTAACTTGATTTGGATACTGTAGACTGCTTTTTGGATTTCCAGGATATGAGGGAATTGCCAAGGAACACACAATATCTAGTTACGCATCTGCGGGTAGCTGGGCAACTTGCCCAATCTGAGTCTGCAAAGCCAGAGAGTTTGAGTGGAGAGGAAGATGAATAGAACAAACCCTTGGCAGGAGCACCTTTGAGATACTTGAGTACTCGAATTGTTTCAGAATGATGAACTTGCATAGGATGTGAGATGAATTGGCTGAGCTGTTGAACGATGAATGCAAGGTCAGGTCTGGTGATAGTTAGATATAGAAGTTTTCCAACAAGCCTTCGATAAGCTGTGACATCTTTGAAAGGTGGTGAGTTATCATCATGAAGCTTCAAGGAGGAATCGAAGGGAGTAGAGCAAGGTTTTGTAGCCAATAAGCCACTGTCTTCGAGCAATTCCAAAGCGTACTTTCTCTGATTGAGAAAAATGCCGTGAGTGGATCTGGCAACTTCTAGACCAAGAAAATATTTTAGCCTACCAAGGTCCTTGATTTTGAAAGTGGAATCAAGGAAGCATTTGACATATTTGATTTCCTGCAAATCATTACCGGCTAAGACAATATCATCAACATAGACTAATAAAATAGTAAAAGAAGAGTCATGTGATTTTGTGAAAAAAGAATGATCAGCAGAAGAATATGAGTAGCCAAGAGAGATAAGGGCAGTGGACAATTTCGAAAACCACTGTCTGCTAGCCTGCTTCAGGCCATATAGTGACTTATGCAATTTGCAAACTTTGTTGGTCGAAGAAGTGCAAACTTCGTTGGTCGAAGAAGTGCTAACTTCGTTGGTCGAAGAGGTGCAAACTCCGTTGGTCGAAGGAGTGCAAACTTCGTTGGTCGAAGAAGTGCAAACTTCGTTGGTCGAAGAAGCAGAAGAAGTGCAAACTTTGTTGGTCGAAGAAGTGCAAACTTCGTTGGTCAAAGGAGTGCAAACTTTGTTGGTCGAAGGGGTGCAAACTTTGTTGGTCGAAGAAGTGCAGACTTTGTTGGTTGAAGAAGCAGGAAGCATGAATCCAGGAGGCAGATCCATATACACTTCCTCATGTAGATCACCATGAAGGAAGGCATTGTTGACGTCAAGTTGTTCCAAGTGTCGATTCTTAATGGCAGCCACTGAGAGAAGGGTTCGAATAGAAGTAAGCTTCGCAACAGGTGAGAAAGTATCGAAATAATCCACCCCCTCCAGCTGAGTATATCCTTTTGCTACTAAACGGGCCTTGTATCGTTCGATGGATCCATCATCATGATGCTTGATTTTGTAGACCCATTTGCAACCAATCGATTGTTTGCCTGCAGGCAAATCAACAACAGACCAAGTATTTGTAGACTCAAGAGCATCTAACTCAGATTTCATAGCATTGTTCCAACAATCAAACTTGCAGGCTTGTTTATAGGTTTTTGGTTCTGTGAAAGAGCTTATGGATAGACAAAATAATTTGTGATCAGGACTACATTGGCTATAAGATAATACAGAAGAGATAGGGTAGTTAGAGGAACCTGAGTCAGATGCTGGCAGCATGGGGGATAGCAAGTTGCAGTGATAATCAGATAGATAAGCTGGAGGTTTACTATTTCGATTGGATTTTCTGGTTGGCACAGGAGGGGAGGGGAAAGGGGAGTTGTTAGTGTCATTTGAGGAAGAAGAGAGGTTAGTGGGAGAATCTGGCTGGGGGAGAGAGGTAGGAGAGGAAGGTTCATTTGATGGTGGAGGTAAGTTGGGTGGAATGTTGGTGAAAATATCAGGTGAATCAAGGGAAGGAGGGTCAGGAGTAGGAATTATAGGATTAGGTGCAGGTGGGATGGAGGCAAAAGGGAACACAGTTTCATAAAAGAATGCATTCCTTGAAATGTAAAATTCATGTGTGATAGGATCATAGAGAAGGTAGCCTTTTGTGCCTTCCCTGTAGCCAAGAAAAAAAGATTTCCTTGCTCTTGGTTCGAATTTAGTGTGATGGTTAAGCAAGGTCGAAGAATAGGCAAGACAACTAAAGACTCTCATATGGTTAAGGCTGGGAGGAGTAGAATGGAGTTTTTGGTAGGGAGAGTGGTTGTTTAAAAGAGGAGTGGGAAGACGGTTTATAATATGAATTGCCTGTTGTATGGAAAGGTGCCAAAGGTTGTGAGGGAGGTGAGAGTGGAAAGAGAGGGCACGGGCAACATTCAAAATGTGCTGATGTTTTCTTTCCACGATACCATTCTGTTGAGGCGTTTCCACACAAGACCTTTGATGAAGGATTCCTTTAGAAAGGTAGAAAGTGGTCATGAGAAACTCAGGACCATTATCACTTCGAATGCACTTGAGTTTCTTGTTAAATTGAGTTTTGATAAAGGATATGAAGTGAATTAAATGGTTTCTAGTTTCACTTTTGTTGGCCATAAAAATTGTCCAAGTAAACCTGTTGTAATCGTCTACGAGGGTTAAAAAATACTTGTGGCCACATATGGAAGGTGTGGAAAGAGGGGCCCAAATATCAATATGAAGTAAATCGAAGATGGCAACAGACTTAGTATTACTATGAGTAAATGGCAAATGTTTTTGCTTAGCCAAATGGCAAGTGTTACAGGGCTTATGATTGTCATTGTAGGTGACAAAAGGAAATTGAGAGGAAATACATTTGTGTATGTATGGACTTAAGTGTCCAAGCCTAAGATGCCAAATAGTAGAAGGACCATGTTTAGCAGGTTCTAATTGGGGAGAAGAGGAGGTGTTGACAGAGCCAGATGTGGGAGAGATGGTCTTAGGTGGGGTGGCATCAAGAACATACAATTTGCCAATCCTCCTAGCTGTAAATCCAGTCATCTTGGATTGGGGCAACTGCATAATTTGACAGCAATTATGAGAAAATTTCACATCATATAAAGTGGAGTCAAAAAGAGTGGTGACAGAGATGATATTGACATGAAATGAAGGAAAGTAATAAACATTGTGAAGGACAAGTGAACCACATAGTAAAACTGAACCAGCAATAGTTGTAGTGACAGAGTCACCATTAGGCATTGTCATAGATTTAGGTGCAATGTGGTATGTGGAAAGGAAACTGGCAAAGATATGGGTGATGTGATCAGTGGCACCTGTGTCAATGATCCACCAGTTATGACAAGGGAGATTTGAGGAATTCTTACCAGAGGAAGTATGAGGAGAGGTATGGGACACATAATTAGCAGTATAAACTGAATTAATCGAGGGAAGTGAAGGAGATTGCAAATTAGATTGTTGGAGGAGCTGCAGAATCTGAGTGTATTGCTCTTGAATTGTAGACAAAGCACTTGGACTGGTGTTTGATGTGGAAGCAGCATCTTGAATCGAGTTCACTGTAGAATCAACAGAATTCCCCACAGATGTAGTAGGCTTACATTGTTGAAATCCATGGGG